ATCTGACCTCTTCAAATTTGTTCAAAAAAAAATATATATATATATATATCTTAATTTATATCTTAAAAAAATTCATAAATTAAATATATTATTATCTTCTGACTAAGACACAAGTTAAAGATTCGTTAAAGATTCCCATATCAAAATCCTACTACAAAATCTTAAAGTATTATGTTTCCAAGAGAAAGTTTACCAAACGCACCAGTAATTTAGTGCGTTGACTACGGGAATTCTTCTTTTCTTCCTTCCTTTCCGTAGCATTGTTTGTAGTCCGAAATTTTAAGCCGAATTGTTTGTCGAAAAATCTTAGATTTCTAATTGGGTAATTATCGGGTATACGAAAAAATGGGATGTATTCATTAAACCAATTATATAGAAAGAATATGAAAAAAAAGTGAAACAAATATAAATTTTATTTTATTAATATATTATTAATATAACAAACCAAATCATAATCATTCAGTAAAATTGTCTCTTTTTTTTTAATTTTTTTTTATCATTATTCTTTTCAATTACATCTCATTCAGCCAATAGTAATGATTCTTTGATTAAATTTTAATAAATATTTAGTTAAAATTATTATTATTGTTATTATTATTAATTTTTTACGAAGTAAGCGTATTCATGCATTTATCTACAAATATCAAGAAATCCTCTGCCATTTTTTTTATTTTTTGAAACACTTGCCCAGGTGGTGGATCATCAAAGGAATGCCATCCCAGACAAAATCATTTTATTTATTGATTATGTATCATTATTTTTCGTGTAAAATGAAATCCACAATGCCGCATGCATTACCCTATGTCATGTTCTGTTTGCACGATCAGACGTGAGAATAAATTAAGAGTTTGTTTAATTTGTATTTTAAAGATAATAGTATAATAAATTTATATAAAAAATTATAAAAATTAATATTTATTTTAATACTATTATTAATCGAATAATTTTGACTATTTAATTAATTAAATTAAAATTTATAATTTTATGTAAATTAATTATTATAAAAAAATGAAATAAATATGCTCTTAATCTATGTGGTAAGAACATATGATAAAAAAATTCATAAATTAATACAATATTATAATAAAAAAGTTTTATACAAATCGGATTGTTTTTACTTGCACATAACTCATTATTAGGAGTTTATTT